AAAAGGAACCTATGGATTTCAATAGTTGTCAAAATATGACATGCAGTCCCTTTTGTGTTAGTGTCTTACAGAACGTAAACAAATATACTTTACTGAGCTATCAGAGAAAAATACATTTCCTCACATAAATTTCCGAAATCCAATTCGTGTTACTTTTTTGGCTACTACATTTACATGAGAACTAATATCATCGTCAATCTTCTTTTGTGTAAACAGGGTTTTGAGTTAATATTCTGATATTTAGTATGTTTTGAAAAGTGTTTGAATTGCAAAGAGAATTTATTGTACGTTCTTCCTATTAAGCCCTTGCTCGGTGGGCTGTCTGTTTAATATTTCTCCAAATTTTGTTCGAAACGATACCTTGCTTGTTCTGCATAGGAAATTTCTACCGGATATGCAGCGCATTCTCTTATGGGGCTAGAAAACTTGGGGGTATACTTCTGCAGCAAGATCACATTCTTAGAGAGCTTCAAAATTTCTTTTCAGACACTATAGAGAGGCACAGAAGTGGACAGAATGATGTTCAGAATCCTGATCCATCGCCATTTCAGACTGCTAAAAGCAGTGGCCTGCATCATCATCTCCTCAGAGATGCAGATGATCTTCCTACCTCTGGTATTCATGGCCTCAAAATTTCATGTGATTCATCCAAAGTTCATACCCAAATAATCCAGGAGAGTGTCAATGTAATAGCTAGGCCCTTTTATGCGCCTCATCAATTTTTTTCTGACTCCAACTCACATAATGGCAGTGCGAAGAATGGGAACCCAGGCTCATATCAGTTCAGCCACTCGGAGAAGAATGTTCATTCTGAGGTATTCCCAGGGTTTGATGAACAAAGAGTCGCTATTGCTAGAAACCTGGACAAAAACCATTTGGTAAAAGAAAATGAAATTGCGGCTCCTGAACCAAATGGTAGTTTAACTCGGAAATCGGTTGCCTGTTCTGAAAATTCAAATCATATGATCTGTTATCAGGGTTCAGCGAGGAGCAGCAGGAGTTCAGAACATTTAAACTCCTTGTCGGATCTTAGTGGAGATTATGACAGTTACTTGTATTATTTGCAGTATGGTCAGTGGTGTTATGAACATGCTTCTGGTATTCCTTCTTCACCCATGCCTCCACTGCCACCCCCTCAATACAAGAACAAGAATTCGGGGAATGGCCTCAGGCATTCATCTCAATTCAAGCAGAACGCATTTTCTAATAGGCGCCCTGATGTTTTTATTCCAAGTCCATCAGCATATGCAGTAAAACCGGTACTATTACCTGCAATGACCCATGCTTTTGAAGAAATGCCAAAACCTCGTGGGACAGGAGCATATTTTCCAAACACGGTATAATGCTAACAGTGTGCTGTTTGATCATTTTAAGTTATGCTGCCTACATGGGATAATGATGTGACACATGTTTATCAACTTACAACTTCCTGTCTTATCACATTTTTGAGGGGGTTGGCCTCTATTGGTATGAAATAATTTTATGCTTTTTGATTTTCGCAGAATCAACCCCTGCATGGTTATAGGCCTTCTATGAATGTAAGCAATCAAGGGACATTAAGGTCCCCCAGGAACAATGGCCAGAACATGATGCTAGTAACCAATGTGGTTGATGATAGAAGCAGCCACGAGATTTCACAATCTCAAGTCCCAGTTCAGCAAAATGGTGTGAAGCACGGGGCATGAGATAGCCATCAGTCATTTACTTCTCGTGTGGATGGGCATCCTAATGTGAATTGCTTGGCCTTCCTCCCTGAGGAAATAGTTGGATTTGATGAAGTTGGACGCATCCCATTTGGAGCACTCTTGTTAGAAAGGAGTTGGCAACAAAGATCTGACACTTCTCCGCCTCGCACTCTTAATCCAGTTTCACCCAGATGCAGAGGTCAAATCCCACACTGAGCAGGGATTAAGATAGGTAAAAGAATTTCCACACAATTTTGTATGACCATATCATTTTACAGATGTTGCTGGTCTTCTGTTTATGTTTCTTTCATTTTATTTTTCGCTCTGAACATGAAGGTTTTCATTGTAGTCATCATATATTTTCAAAGATAAAAGATGAATTCCCTCCACTATCCATCTGATTTGGTAAAAACACATGCTCAGTTATACGCGTCACTAAGAATGAACTGGTACAAGAGGTTTTCCATGTCAGCCAGAAATTTCTGCATCTGTGGCTCCTCCACAGGACCACAGCCTTGTCAAAGATGTATAAAAATGTGCCTGACTGTACACTCTACTAAATATTTCCCCTAGATTGACAATACAGGTCCAAATTGAGTTGTGTTTTTTGTGTAGAAAATCAAATTGCCTTTTCTATCCCAGAGTTATGATCACCAGCATAAGGGGTAGTTTAATCTTAAAGGGACATGTCTAGTATGCCAAATGTAACTTAAAAAAGGATATCAATGGTCTCTTCTTGCTAGATTTGATAGAACTAGTTTCAAGTTTGCTCTTCACAAATCAGAGAATTTACGCGTTTTCATAAATGGACCTTAATACTTTTGAATTAAAGTTTTACATGCTCTGAGATGAAGATTTCATCAATGCTTTATGGAGATCGTATGTGCTGTTGAAGTTATGAAGCTTGCCCAATGTTTGTGAGCATATTCAAATTTCATATTGTTTTCTATGTGATGAGGGTAGGGAAAATTGCACCATTGGTCCGCAATTTATTGTTCCAGTAGCAAGTTGGTCTCCAATATTTAATAAGAGAGAAGTTAGTGTACAAGTCTTCATTATTGTTGTAAAATTAGTGTCATAGTGACGGATACTATCTGACTTTAGTTAAATTATAATGTGACCTTTATGGAAAAATTGAATCACTTCAAATTTTTGAACACCAATCCAGTTAATTTCATAAAATTGGATATATGATTTCTTGTAAGTAATTTTTTTGTTAGAGATACTGTGTTGAAAGATCGCCTTTTCATTAGTTTGAAAAAATTTGGCACTTGGGAGAAATGAAAGGGAGTTGATTTCGACCTTGTGTAAATTTTTGAATAAAATAAATTAAGTAGAAAATTAAGACAACAATTTTCTAATTAAATATATCAATTATTTTGGTCAAGGATTGCACAAGTGACGCAAGAGGATTAAATTTTTATTGCATTATGGACTGCAATAATTATTTACTCTTTGCATATTAAAAAATTTCATTGGACCACATCTTGTCAAGAATGTCATACCCCAAAATGTCTCGTTGGAGGTCAAATTTCCTGTCATTATCAAATTATTAAGAGGTGGCTTTCCAAGTGGCTGCCACATTAGACCTTTGTTAATAATTTTATTGTTTGGGGCAATTAATCAAATCATAATAGTAATTATTTCATCAAGTACATTTCATTTATGTAAGTTATATATGCTTGTTTATTAAATAATATGATTCAAACCGGTTGGTGAAATGAAACTTAACAATAAATAACCTAGTTATGAGTAGGTGAAATGAAATGTGACAAAAAAATAATGTAGTTCGAGTACTTGAAAAAAAATATGGAAGCAAAAGAAGCAGGCGCCACGTACAATGATAAGAATCAACACCTACTTCTATTAGAAGAGCTACAATAACATGTAAGACACAGACGTTAAAAACAATAAAAAGAGATCGATCAATAACTCAGTGGAATTTAAAGGCATTTGTATTTTTTTGTGCACGGTAACGATACTCTAGAAATTTCTATGTGATCTTTATAAGACAAAATTCGAATAAAATTTAAGAATAATCCCTCGTTCACTACAAAGCATTCATTACCAATTTTCGCTCAAAATTAAAGTAAACGTTTGTCTTAATAAGCGAGAAAGCAAATGTGATAATAAATACTTTTGTTATTTTTATTCATAAATATATTTATTTTTTCAGCCAAATTATTGTGCCGCATCCAATATTAACGTGACACAACTAACACAAGTGGAATAAATAATGTCAAATTAGACTTTGTCTAAGGAGTCAGTTGAAGACCCAGTTGGTTTTTTTTTTTTTTTTTTTTTCAAATAATTGTTTTTTTTTTTTTTTTTTTTTTTCAAATAAATACTTTTTTTCCTACACATAAGTACTTATAATCCACCACCTTCTCTCCCTAAACACCCCAATAATCTGCAATCGGCACCAAGAATAGTCTCCTCCAAATTCTTTCAAACTTCCTCTCACATATAGATATATTTTCAACTATCCTTTTCCCTATTCTGAACTCTCTCTCTAAAATCTATTGTTGGATCTTTATGGTAACCACAAATGGTGCTACCAAAACGTGGCCACAGATTTTTCAAATTCAGAAGTTCAGTTTCTTGCCGAAGTCCCACTTTTAATTATCTCTTTTAAGCCTTTTTCACTACTTTTTTCTGAAAAAAAAAGGTGATCTTTCATCATCTCCACATCTAACAGTGTGGAAGTTGACTTATTATCTGCCTCAACAACAATTTGCATAGTATATTATCACCTTTTAATTTCCTCTATAATCTCTTTTCGAAGCAAATGAATTTTCAAAAATACGAGTTTTCCCGTGAAGTTGTAGAAATGGCTTGGATTATCCT